TGAAGTGTCTGGAAAAGGATGATTATTTGCAGCACCTGTTCTGCTGTCAGAAACCCTTATTCACTGGGCAGTGAACTAGTCCTTGTCCTCCCTCCTTAGGATATTCTCAGCACACACCGGTACTGTTCACAGGCTGATTTTTGTACATTATGTGCATTACAGTAAGTAAAAGTATGAATGAGGCATCCAGACTCCCAATATAACACTGGCAAATGCTGAAAAGTGTGGAAAGGTGACACTTAACCTTCTCTCTGAAGACCTGAGCCTGTTTATTCTTTTGCAATGTGGTGGTGCTACTCACTCTCCATATACTGCAGGTCATCAGTGTCTGGGCCCCCTGCTGTGGGATGGGAGGACTGATTTCAACCCTTCCTCACCCTGTGGAGTTTATCTTGAGTAAATTCACCATTTTCAAGTCAGAACTTTAATGGCAAGGCATTTAGCTGCTCAGGGAAGCAGCCACACTTGCTGTCCCTATTGAAACTGTGCCGATGTGGAGCAGGGAAGCAGGGCTAGAGGAATGGTGGTGTAGCCAGTGTCTGCAACCCACAGGGCCATGAGCTCAGCCAGCAGACGTGCAGTGGGGGTTGCTACCTCTGTTTCCACTATTTGTACTACAGTTGACTGAAAACTTTGATAGTTCGAATACAAAAGGTCTCAGAGCATGAGGAGCAATACCAAAGACCTTTCTCCCAGCTGGGTGCCTCACCTTTGCAGCTGCAGAGTCAGAAATGTACTTGTGGCTTTTTGACCTCTTGGAGATCTTGGAGATCTCTAACTCTTGGATCTACTCTTCATACTTCCCCTGAATGTCAGAAGACTTCTACGAAGTCACTGGAGGTGACTTGAGTAGTGTACCAGTGGTAAGGAACCAAGGATTTACACCCTTATGTGAATAGGCATCTGCTTCTCTCTCCACGGGCTGTATTGTCTCCAATGCAGTAGGAGAAGCCCATGGTGGTACAGCTCTTCCCTGGCTAAAATAGGGTTGCCCTTCTGCTCTTTGTCTAGAAACTGGTAAAACTGCACTGAGGATGTGTTTGGTCCTGCTGCATGTAGAGAGCGGTGTCCAGGGGGATGTTCCTTTGGCACCTCCTGGGATCAAGTGAATTGCATTCTCTATGGGCTCTGCTGTAAAAGGAACTGATATTCTTCAGAGTTAGCCACCCACTCCTCAGACATCAAAGGTAAAACAAGTGAATCACATCTAATGTGGTTTGTTGCATTTTTAGCAGAAAACCTGTGTCCCAGGTCCAAGTATAATCATGGTTTGTATTTTTTTTTCCATGAGAAAAGCACCATGTGTTTATAAATTGCTCTTTGCCAAATTACTTGTTCTTAAAAAGAATTACACCATAATAAGCTGCATCATTAAAAAGAAATTTTTCTGTGAGCAGCAGAGCCTGGTTTCCTGCAGTTTGGTGCCTCATGGTGGGATTATGTTGCGTCTAATGAGGAGCACTCTGGCTGAAGCCTTTTCTCCTGTTCACAAAGACACTGTCTCATGTGGATTCGCTGGTGTCTATAATACATTTGGGATCAAACTGCCATTGTTTAGGTTCTCTCTTGTCTGCCAATGTAATACTGCACACGTGGCAAACTGTTCCTCCCTGGAGACGTGCAAGGGTCATACTTCTCTACCCTGATGCCTCTTCTCATAAAAATGATTGAAAATTAAAGCATTTGAGATTTCTATCCCACAATTCAGTTTGACTAAAATTGGCCAACAGGCTAAAAGATAATTGAGAATAATATTGGACTGACACAACAATATAATAAACCTAATTTTATTAGGTAATCGGGCAATAAATGATGGAAAGTAAATACTGGAGGAGATTAAACATGAGAAAAAATGTTCATAAATATTTATTCAAGCATTTAAATACACTCAAGGTGACCGTTTTATGCCCATTTTGCATTTCAATTTTAGTGTTTCAATTCACAGTCATATGAATCACCAACAAGGGCACAGACACCCCAATAGTTACATTCATACCTCAAAAGTAAGAGTAAAGTAATAGTTTCCTCTGAGACTTTTTTTTTTACAGTGACAGAGAATTATTAAACGTTTATTTAAAAATACTACAAATTTAAAGTTTAGAAACAGGAATGTTGAATAATTCAGAAATCAGATTTTGAAGATGGTTCTCACCTAGTCAGAGAATAAAGATAGATCATGTGGTTTGTCCTGGATTTCAGAATTTTCAGTAAACCTGAAATGAACAGAGTCAGACCAGAAATCCTTTGCTGAAGTGGTTTATGGAAAGGTTTTGAGAATGTTTCAGAAATATGAGGTGTGAAAGACAATTCACAATTATTTGTGCACATACACACAAAATCACAGATTAAGGAAAGAAGAAAGATACATTGAATAAATTGCTCATTGTAATTTATATTCCTAATTCCTAAGCCATAGAAATGTGTTCATCATAAAGAGATTTTTTGAAGGTATTTCTATTTTCTTACCTTGGATGCAGTTTAGATGGATGAGCTACCGTTGGTCTCCATGCTTATCAAATTAGGAGAATGCATTTCTAAATTCAATTACATCCTCAGTGGAAGTGGTTTCTCTGACTCTGGTAATCTTTGGAGAAGAATTATACACAGTCTATAAAGCTTCACATTTCAAAACCTAATTTTGAATGTTATTCAAGAGGTTAATTTAAGATTCATCTTCCAAAAGGAGAGTTAAATAAAACTGATAGAAGGCTGGAACTTGTTGAGTGGTTGAGAGGTTTATCAGCATGTGAGAACGAGTTCATTAGTTTTAATTAGTATAATCACTAATGTTGCATTAACAGTTTGGTGAGAGAAAGTAATTGCTCACACCCACTGTATTAGATTGGGAGATTAGAATTCATTTTATGAGGCAATTAGCATTTCAGGGATTTTTTTTTTTTTAGGCTTTTATGATCTTCCATTGCAATACCCTCCTTCACCAAAAAGAGTTTAAATTAACCATAACTTTCATCCTAATGGGATGCAAAAATTAATGCAGAATTAAGTGTGAACCAGTAATCCCACTGCGATAAGCAGGCAGCTAATGCCACAAACCTTGATTAGTTTATAATGACCTGTTTTATTTCCCAGACAATGATAGTCATTTATCTGTCCTCAATTCATTATGTTCCTAGAAAGTTTATATTCTTGAATTTTACACAGCAAAACAAATAAAAAATGAGGAAGGGAAAAGTAGAACTGTACTGTTGAAGTAATAATTCTCCAAAGAAAAAGGAAGTTTCAGTAATAGGGCTTAACTAGTCAATTATTCTTCACATCAAATACCAGAGGAAGAAGAAACAGCTCCCTTTGACATCCAGTGCCTTGGGAGGAAACATGAATTTCACAGCAGCAGCAATCACAGCCTTGCTCTGCCCATCACATTCCTGGGCAGCTACTGACAAAGTGAGAATGGAGATCCAGGACTTGTCATCCTGGTTGGCAAGGAAGCCTTAGTCATCTGAGAGTTAGGACAATTCACCCAAGAAATTGCCTTCCAAAACATCCTGGAAAGCAAAACTGCTTACAGCAAGGCTGTAATGAAAGGCACCATGATATCCATAAAGAGATGAGAAACACACCATTTGCAACAAATTTAGCACCCATTTTATAGGATTATGCTTGCCCCTGATTAAAACAAGTCTCTGCCCAAAAAATAACCGAATAAATGCCAAATCTGCTATGTCTTGGATGTGGTATGGAAGAAAACAACTGTTAGATGTTAGAACTATAATGTAGTTCCTGGAATTTTGGGTACATATATTAAAATGAGTGGATGTGGGGCAGTATTCAGGGAATTACATGAATCTTCCAAAAACATATGTTTAAGCGAAATGTGCATACATATGTATGTACTCTTATAAGAGACATTAATGGATATATGAGACGCTCTTAGAAGAGGGGTTCAAAGACAAAAACTTATTAAACAGCCAAAAATTAGGTACAACTAGACAGACTGGATTTCAGTCTGTCTGGCATCAGCTGATGTCACCTTTAGAATGTGAATTACTCCACCTGAGGTCTGCATCCTCCGCTGTAAGGGCTGCCGCACCCTACAGACTTCAGAGGCAGTCCAAGGTGGCTTGATTGGCTGAAGTAAATGCTGAAGTAAATGTTTAAAATTGGGTAGAATGAATCATGACCAGCATGCCTGTGCTTTAGGGTTTGTCTATGCACAGAGTTATTGTGGAAAGCCATTACTCTTCCTGAATAGCATTACTTGTGAATACACTTTTGGTTGAATAAGACTTATTTCTCTTCAACAACATCCACTTGACAGAGGCAGAGCAATTTGCTTTCTAGTCCTCATGTGGAAACCTTCTGCAGGAGCTACTGCCTTTTTAGTGAGCAGCCCTACCTTAATCCAAATTTACCTTATTGCAAAAATGCCCTAAATTTACCATCCATTCACCTTTGAGAGCAATTTAAGATTTATGGAGGTAAGTGCATCTATTAGGCACAAATATATTGAACAAAAAAAAAAAAATGAAGGTATCGTATACAATAAAAACTTGACTTTTATTTCACAAATTATGGATGTTATAAAGCTTATTGTTTCAGGAAAAATGCCTGTATTTGCATGTATGTTTCATTAAAGAGTAATAATGCCATACATATTTCATTTCCTTGTTCTGAGCAGCAAAAGCCTTAACTATATAAAATGCCCCATGCTGTTCTTGCTTTGTTGTTTTTTTTTCTTTTAATCAGATTTTTCCCCCTAAACTAATGAAATTGCTCTTTAAACACATACATCATTTTCATTTTAAGTGATTTACCATGACTCAAACAGTTTCTCTCTTCTGGAGAACGAGGCACTTTTTGTTGTGCAGATCCAGGTCAGAATTGCCTCTGATATCCAGAGTGCTGAGTTCCCTGCAATCCCACTAGTGCTGTTTTAGGTGGAGTGTTAGGTGACTGATATCTGCAGGGGTCTGCACCTTGCATATCTACACTGATTCTTGGTCCACCTGCTATCACATGTAATTTCTCTCTTCTTGTAGTATGCACCGACCCTCTGTGCAGCTGCGCAGACGTCCACGGAGAGAGGCATCCTTCCTCCCTGCCATCATCACGAAGCAGTGCATGACCCCCAGCTGGTTCCCTGCATGTGCCCGCTCTTTTCCTGCCCATGGGAAGGGCACCTGGAGGTGGTGGTGTCCCACCTGAGGCAGACCCATCACATCAACATCCTTCAGGGTGCAGAGATTGTCTTCCTGGCCACGGACATGCACCTGCCCGCACCCACAGACTGGATCATCATGCACTCCTGCCTTGGCCACCAGTTTTTGCTGGTACTCAGGAAGCAGGAGAAGTATGAAGGCCACCCGCAGTTCTTCGCCACGATGATGTTGATTGGCACACCGACCCAAGCTGACAACTTCACCTACCGGCTGGAGCTCAACAGGAACCAGAGGCGCCTTAAGTGGGAGGCGACCCCCAGGTCGGTACTGGAGTGTGTGGACTCTGTCATTTCTGACGGGGATTGCCTTGTGCTGAACACTTCCCTGGCTCAACTCTTTTCTGACAATGGAAGCCTAGCGATAGGAATTGCAATAACGACCAGCAAAGTTCACAACTCCGAAGCTGAAATGTGAGGGGGAAGAGGAGCAGGAGGAGAAACAGCAACAACAGTGGTGCTCTAGCTGCCTTGTGAGAGCCAGAACTTGCAGACTTTTCGGGGGGGTCTCAGGTCTTTTATGGTATTTAGTACTTGTCCACAGTGGGCATTATGTAAACATCCCGTGGTTACAGTCTCTGTGTAATGTATTTACCATTTTGTTAATACAATTTTATGATAAATTTTAAAGAGGCTAATCAATTTATTGTAGCCCTCCAGCAGCACTGAAAACAACACATGTTAATGAAAAGTGCACCCAGGGTGACTCACAGAAACCTTTGCTCTGAGAATGCTATGCAAATATGTTTCCTTCATTGCCTGCCTAATTGACTGGAGGCCCCTGTGCCTGATGAAAGGTCAAGTATTCCACTAAGGGACAAGAGCACCCAGGTTTCCATATTAGCAACAGTGATTTAACTCTTATGCTGTGGTTATGACCAAGCCCTGCAGGAGCCTGCAGTTTCACAGCTCCCTTCAGCTTCTGAGGGAACAACTTCCTCATTCAAACACTGAAAGCTTCAGAAGAAGAAGTCATCACCTCTGCTGAGCAGGGGCCTGGAAACCCTCATCCTGCATTCAATTTAGGACAGCTAGTAGGTGGTCACAGTGAGCATGGTTAAATATCACTCTTGTATCATACAGGGCAATGAGAGGTTGCTAGATAGTCTGGCTACAGGTGTGATATAACCATAACCAGTCATTGGGGCATTCATCTTATTAGCTGCTATTTCCTTAAGCATCCAAAAAACACTTTTCAGAAAATAAAGTATAAGGACGGTCCTAAGCTCAGCACTGATCTTGCTATGGAATTCTGTGCCCCTTAAACCCACAGTTTGTGCTACTAAATATTGATTTAAAACAATATAGACGTGAGATTTAAAATACATTCCTTCAAAAAAACCCACCTCTTTTCTTCCTTCCATACATTTTGGGGGCAGGGAAAGAATGATGGTCCCCTTCTTCTGCTGAGGGTGTTTTACAAACAGCAATGATCATAAAAAGACACAGGCTTCTCTAAGAGCATCTTCCTTGGATGGCTCCTTGGGGAGAGTTGGAGGCAGGATCTGGCAACTCGGTTCCATCTGCAGTCAGCCCTGTTTCCTCCATAGCTAACAACAACAGAGAAATCCCACTGCAGTAGGTGACATGTTGAAGGAGAGGCCTCCACAGGGATTGTGACACATGAGAAGCATGGGAAACTGCCTTTTCCTGTTTTCCCTTCTGCCTGTGTGTGACTGTGGTCTGGCTGCTCCTGAATGCTTTGTCAAGAAACATCTGGTCGGTTGGGTCAGTTAGTAGATAGAGAGACTGAGTTCTTGGAAAGCCAAGGAAGGGGGGAAGCAAGCTGAGAATAGTCCTTAGTTCTTCAAAACACATCTCGCTGTAGTTAACTTCAGGTAGACAAGACTATTGATGCTGATCTCTCCCATCTGTTGCTCTCCTGAGAATTATTATAAATTATGCATGACGTGAAATGAATTGAAGTTTTCCTGAGATGAATACCATGCAGGCAATGTCTTCTGAGACATAGATGTACATCACCTCCTTACCTGGACTTTCATAGCAGGTCAGAGAGGAGCCTGTCTCTTCAACAGGCTGCTGAGGTCCAAAGAAGTCTCAGTCCCTGTAAGAATACACTGGAGCACAGCTACGCATTTCTCCCACCTCTGAATTCAGAAGGCCGGGGGGGACATACTGATTTGCAGTGCTTCGCTGGAACACACAGGCTTCAGAGCAGCTTGCTTTTTCCCTGCGATGTTAAATATTCAGAACCATCAAATACTGCCCTTGCCTTAACTGATAGCAATAAATAAATCATTGGTGCTTTTGTGGACTGAAACTGGCTTCTCCAGCTCCTCCAGTAAAAATAAAACAAAGCAAAAACAATAAGACCCCAAGAAAAACAGTTCCTCTAGCTTAAACTTTCTGACGTCTTTGTACACTGGGGTAGAGACCAAATGTAATGATGCTTTTGTTGCCTGATCACAAGAAGTTCTAGGGGGAGGTATATTTCTTGGTTATTTACTTTTTCCAGACTATTTACTTCTTGTTAGTTGGCACCTTTTGTATTTGAAATATCTACTTTGTGAACCCAACAAAGTAAACTCCTTGCTTGTCTTGGCTTTCTCCACAACTGCAAAGACCCAGCTCTGGCAGGGATTTCAGAAATCTAGATTGGAGTACTACACTAGAGTACTACACTGCATTGGAGTACTGATGAAAATCTGTCCAGTGAGATTCCCAGGAAACAAAAGGAGGACACATTTCAGGCAGATATGAGAGATGGGTGCTAAAACCAGCCTTTGTAAGCATCTCAACATGAAGCTCAAATGTTTAAGGATATATTTAAGGGCTTTCTACCACAGAAGGCATTCTAATTCTGTCGTAATTCAAGGCCTATGAGTAACCTTATACTGTTATAAAGCAAAGGTGAAGCAAATATTCTGCATGGTAGGACATAAATCCAAAATGCTGGAAATAGGATCAACAGTGAAGTTCAATTTGCACACACTCTTTCAGTGCCCATAATATAGCACTTTTTACAGCTCTCTGCTTATGGTTGAAAAGTAGTTTGATTCCTAAATTTGGCTGTAATCAGGGCTTCTAGAGTTAATTTTGTACTCTAGTATTTTGCATCTTTATAATGTATTAAAACAAATTACTCTTAATTAATTCCTTCCTTCCTGTGAAGAACACAACCTTACATGTGTTTGAAGTAAGGAAGTACCCTTCATTTGGTGCAGGAGAAAATGAGGTTGCAAAATCCCTGTGCAGCTGTTGCAAAATTCTATTTTCCTACCTACCTGATCTGAGAGTGGTGTTCCTTTTTTTTTTTTTTAACATAGACAAGATATTGGTTTTGGGTTTGGTTTAGTTCATTGGGTTTTTTAAGCTTCTTCCACATCTCTGTTCATGGATGGATTTTCTTTTGCTTGGTTTAGTAAATTGCAACAATAATTTCATCAGGCTGAGTAGGATGGATTGCTACCAGATCCACTACAAAACCTACTTTGGTTCTTCTGCACTATCCATCAGACACTGTGTGAATGTTAATGTCAGATCTGCAGTAAAACACCATTAGTGCTTTCAGCTCAATCCTATTATGAATTAAGCTCACATCATATATCCATGACTCCTTATAAATCAGCTGAAGCATCCTCAGTCTCATCATCTTGAAGATGACAAAGGATCTTGCAGTGCCAGTGGCAGCTGTAGGGCTTGTTCAGAAGTAGGGCAGTAGTCCTCACTGGACTTGATATCACATCTTCTCCTTCATACCATCCTTTATGAATACAGGCCAGTAAACTACTGAAGAAAGGAGAGATGGTAAATCCTGGACAATAAAAGAGCTATAACAAAATGAGTAATTTACAATAACTTGCTGGATACTGCTGCATGACTCTCTTTTTTGTGCATCAGCAATTGACAGTACTGTAGCACAGGTGATTTATCTGTTTTTCTAGCCCAACACAGACCTGAAAAACACTCATCGGAGAAGAATCTGTCAGAATAGACTCAGATGTACTTCTTCTCCAATTGGATCAGAAACACCTTCTCACATGGAAGAGCTCCAGATTCTGAACTGTTCAGACACAAGCATAGGTTTTTAATTTCTTTTTTTTTTTTAATGCAGTTAACTCTGCACGCTTATGCCATCAGAGTGAAGGACAGAAAACAAAGATTGCCATGTGTCATCACAAGAACTGTTCACAGAGAAAGATGATTCATCTTTCACAGAGATGGCCCTGCGGAAAACAAGGGGGCTAACAGCAGGGTAGGACACGGCAGCACCTGTGGGCTCCAGAGGTGTTCACATAGAGCTGAGGGCAGAGCTCAGCCCCTGCACAGAAAAGTTGCCCAACAGAAAACACTTGCAGTGAGGTCACAGCACAGGCTGCCAGGAAAATAATCAGCCCTCCTGAGTTAAGCTCTGTGCCTCTTCACACCAGCACCTTCCACCCAGGAAAAGGGCCTCTCATCTGCTGGGAGCCCTGTCTTTTGGAGCAGTGCAGATGAGCAGATCAGTTGGGTCTGCGTGTAAATGGTCCTGCACAATGGTGCTGCATAGTGAGTGCAAACACCCAGTCCCATCCTGACCAAGAGCTCCTTTGGTTTTGGTGGGTACCCAGCTACCTGCAGCTGCTAGTGATTCTTCCAGGTCCTGACACAGGACAGTTTTGCTGTCTTTCATGTGCATAGCTCCCACCAAGAGAGGAAAGCATTTGTTGAAAACAATGCAAAAAATCCTTGGCAGAACATCACATTAAACCTATATCTCATACCCTTGGTTAGGACTACAAGCACTCATTCTTTCTCTCTCCACAAAGGCAAAAGACTAATGAAGAGCTTTTTTATCTCCCTTTGGGCTCTGCCACTCCAGAACATGCACATGAAGGATTAGCAAGCAGTAATAATCTTCAAGAGAAGGATGAGAACTAACTTTCATTGCAAAGATGGCTCTTCTTGCAGTACTTTCACAAAAGGATGCCAGGCTCCAAGAAAGAGACTAACAAAGCTTATTGGTAGGAAAATGGGAAGCACCGATTGCAAAACCTGCCATTCCTCAACTAGAATGAGCTTTATGTCTTCCAGGTACTGAAAATCCTCCTGAGACATTCCTTATCTGAATACATCACTTAATCTTGTGGAAAGCTCCAGGACAGAGAGGTTCTTGCTGTTAGAAATTGTATCAAGTAACCTTACTGAAGATAAATGGCTTTGAACTTTCATAGCAACAGTGATGAACTGCTTCAATATCCTTGTAGTGCAGACTGAAAAATCAGAGCTTTTAGACAAAGAAACAAACTTATTCAAATGCAAATGTGCGATCTAGGACAAAGTTTTCAGGTGATATTTAAAGCACTTTTCTTGTTGCTGAGACTGGATGTCTGCATAGCAAGAGATGTTTCACTGCCAGACAGGTCCTATTGGCTTGAATTCAAAAACACTCAGATAATCTTCATTTCTCTACTAAGGGAGACACTTTAAAAAGTAAAGCAAATAGTGTTATGTATGAAACAAGTCTGTAAAGGACCTTTTTTTTCAGGCCAGACTGCCTGACCAGCAGGGTGTGCAG